GGGCCCAAAACAGGGGGATGAATCACCTGGACCAACACAGGTAAGGGGAGATGGCGTTCCGGAGCTCAAGCAGAAGCAGCAGGGAATCAGTGTGAGAACAGCTTCATATGGGTTCACCATCAACCAACATAACAACATTCTTCAAAATCTCCTTTTAATACACACTCGTACTGTATGAGCTGCAGGTGGAGTGACTTGCTTCTAAGTAAAAACAAAAGTAGCCATTTAGTGAAAGCTAGGTTTGAATAAAAGCTGACGGATTGCCAGCGGTGTTTGTTACTTAAGTAGAAGTATAGATACTGCAGTTGAAGTATCAACTTGAGCTCTTTACTCAAGTAAAAGTGAAAAAACATGTGCTGCAAAAAACTACTTAAAGCATAAAAGTATAAAGTAACCTTTAAAAAAAACCAACCAGATGCCACTATATGAATTGAAATTGATATTTTTTTTTGCACAAATGCCTATTTGCACTGAACCACTGCAACTTGCACACTGTCTCTATCCTCTGCACTGTTCACACTTTGACCACTGCTGCACTTTTTGTATTCTTCTATAACTTGTGCCATTTGAAATATCAATGCAACGTTCATAAGCTGTATGTAACGCAATTTCGTTCTGTATGCACCCTGTGCATACAAAATGACAAATAAAGAAGTCTAAGTCTAAGTGAAAGCTCAATTTTTCGACTATTTCTAAAAATTCTTTGAGATAGGGCCAAGGATCAGGGAGGTCTTGTTGGTCTCCATCTACCGATACGCTCTTGCCTGTGTCCGACCTTTCAGACATTTCAACATCTTTGTCTGAATCCGACATTGTAGCATGGCATAGACAATTCACGTTTGCAGTTTGAAGAACACCTGCTTGCTTCTGATGATTTCCTTTACCTAACCAATGAGTGTTTGCGTTATATGACTCATCCAATTACACTAGTTTTCACTAGATGTGGATGGCGACAATGATCTGCATTGGATGGAGCACATGACGTGAAATAAATATCTATAAACATTAAACCGAAGCCGAGTAACGTTCATCTTAAAATTTTCAGGAATAGAAAGTACAGATACCTGTGTGAAAATGTAATGAGTAGAAGAAAAATAAGTATACAGGTCCTTCTCAAGATATTAGCATATTGTGATATAGTTCATTATTTTCCATAATGTAATGATAAAGCTTGAACATTCATATATTTTAGATTCATTGCACACTAACTGAAATATTTCAGGTCTTTTATTGTCTTAATACGGATTATTTCGGCATACAGCTCATGAAAACCCAAAATTGGCATATTTCATCCGACCAATAAAAGAAAAGTGTTCTTAATACAAAAAAAGTCAACCTTCAAATACTTATGTACAGTTATGCACTCAATACTTGGTTGGGAATCCTTTTGCAGAGATGACTGCTTCAATGTGGCGTGGCATGGAGACAATCAGCCTGTGGCACTGCTGAGGTGTTATGGAGGCCCAGGATGGGTTAGAGTTTGGCGACATTTAGGTCACTCAGAGCGTTGGGTCTTGAGTCTCTCAACTTTCTCTGCACAATATCCCACATATTCTCTATGGGGTTCAGGTCAGGAGAGTTGACAGGCCAATTGAGCACAGTGATACATGGTCAGTAAACCATTTACCAGTGGTTTTGGCTCTGTGAGCAGCTGCCAGTTCGTGCTGAAAAATGGAATCTTTATCTTCATAAAACTTTACAGCAGATGGAAGCTTGAAGTGCTCCAAGATCTCCTGATAGCTGCATTGGCTCTGCCCTCCATAAAACACAGTGGAACAACACCAGCAGCTGACATGGCACCCCAGACCATCACTGACTGTGGGGACTTGATGCTGGACTTCTGGCATTTGGCATTTCCTTCTCCCCAGTCTTCCTCCAGACTCTGGCACCTTGATTTCCAAATGACATGCAAAATATGTTTTCATCCAAAAAAAGTACTTTGGACCACTGAGCAACAGTCCAGTGCTGCTTCTCTGTAGCTCAGGTCAGGCACCTCTGTTTCTGGTTCAAAAGTGGCTTGACCTGGGGAATGCGACACCTGTAGCCCATATCCTGCACACACCTGTGTATGGTGGCTCTGGATGTTTCTACTCCAGACTCAGTCCACTGCTTCCGCAGGTCCCCAAAGGTCTGGAATCGGCCCTCCTCCACAATCTTCCTCAGTGTCCGGTTACCTCTTCTCATTGTGCATCGTTTTCTGCAACACTTTTTCCTTCCCACAGACTTCCCACTGAGGTGCCTTGATACAGCACTCTGGGAACAGCCTATTGGTTCAGAAATATCTTTCTGTGTCAGACCCTCTTGCTTGAGGGAGTCAATGATGGCCTTCTGGACAGCAGTCAGTACAGTAGTCTTACCCATGATTGGGGTTTTGAGTGATGAACCAGGCTGGAAGTTTTAAAGGCCTCAGGATTCTTTTGCAGGTGTTTAGAGTTAATTTGTTGAGTCAGACGATTAGGTGCATAGTTCTGTTAGGTTTATTATTTATACATCAGGTGCACTGTTAATTTGTTTGTCAGATTAGACAGAGCAGAAGGCCTTCCTTCACATTGTGGATGTCGCGGTGTGTACGGAGGTCATCTAATCAAGACAGCCTTCGTGTCTCTAAGAGTACACAGAATATGGGCACATCTTGGAGCCGGTCTGATAGGAGAGCTGCAGTATCTGCAACCCTGAAACAGAGAGGCAACCTGCATGGAGTTCAAGACATGGATGGCGTGTCAGTTTCTGATACGGAAAGCTAAACATCCACATGATGCAACACATAGACNGGCAAATTGTCAGCAAGAATCACTTTTTATTTCAAATACTATAAATACTATACTAAAATACTATAAATAAATATAAATAAATCTTGCTCTTGCACAAAGTTCTCACATTCTTTCACCTAAAACTTTCCCATGTTAATGTTTTTATTGGGATTTTTGGTGGTAAACCGACAGAGTGATGCGTCACTGTAAAGAGGAAGGATAATGTCAGCCTCTCGCATGAAATCCTGATGGTGGAATGTGACAGAATGGGAAAGCTTTTCAGAGCCATGAAGACTTGTCTGTTGATGTTCATCTACCTGTTCTTGCAGCTCCAGCTGATGGTCTGCTCCTGAAGACATACAACAATTCCCAAGAAAAAGTTTTGCACTTTTTTTCCCTAGGATAAATGTGATGAGACCTTTGTATTTTCAATCTTGAAATTTTCTTCTTCTTTTTGACCATGAAGAGCTTAAATACATATTTGAGAAAAGGCTTGAATCTACTAGAAGCTCTGTCTCAAAGTGAGCTCTCTCTTTCACTAAGTCCTCTTGACGTCCTACCTATAAACACTATCCTGCATGTTCACTTTTTTTCCCTGAAATCCAAAATAATAATAACAAAACTGACTAAAACATAAAGAAGGGGTAGGAGTGAACAGGACAGTAGAAAGTAGAGGAACAATTGTTCTAATCTCTCCAACAATAACAATGGTAGTTTTGTTTTAAAACCAGCTTGTTCATCATTTATTAAAGTTACTCAGAGTAGATGATAACTCAATCATTGTTCTAAAATAAGAGTAGCCATATTTTATAGATATGTCTATACCATGTCGCCATCTGCTGGCAGCTTTTACTCACACGTCCACTAATTTGATTGATTGATTCATTGATTTATTGGCAGCTTGTGCAGCTTTACCTTCTGCTTCAGTGAACAATGTTTATTCTGAACACAAGCTTGATTAAAGGTTAAATTACTGACTGTTAAGGGCTACTGTTTTTCAATTTAAGACCTTTTATTTTTACATGTTGTCTTTCTTACTGCTATATACAGTATACTAAGTATGGGAGCCGAGCATGTATATATTGTCGTACTGTAAATAGAAGTGATCCTGCTTGATTTGCTGTAGAAGGACATGGGCCCATTTATTTTTANATCCTGCTTGATTTGCTGTAGAAGGACATGGGCACATTTATTTTTATTTATTTCATCTGCCTTTACAAACTGAAATTGTTTAAATTTAAGATATCGTTCACAGGGTCAAGTAATTCATATGTGTATGCTTTTGAGAAAATAAAGTACCTGGGTAATGTTAATAGATGAGAAATGGAAGGAACTAAGGTGTAAATCTTTGAACCCTCTTAGTAACATATATTTTTTTCACTTTTACACTTGTAAAAAGTCCCACATCTTGGGACTTTTCTTCTTTCGTTTCACATCTCAGCTGGGTAAAGGCTCGCTTGGTTGGCTCCACTTTCTTGTTTATTCATTGTAATATGCGCAGTATCATACCTCTGATCATATGGGCATCTCTTAAATACAGGATGACATCATTTAAATGAAAAAAAAAAATCCCTTGGTTTTAAAAAGTGAGCTACTGGCATATAAAAAAATCATTAAGTGGTAGTGTGGGACAAACTCCCTTTAAAGATACAGTATGTAATAATTAATGGGATTTACTGACATAAATGTAATATATTATCCAAATGTATGTTATTTATTATCACCTATAAACTAAAAGTCTCAGTCTTTATTTTTGCCTAGCCTTGGAATTTGCTATTTATAATTACACAGGAGTGGGTTTGAATTGTGGAGGCAGACATCTTTACGCTACGGCAGCACAGAGCAGACACACAGTGGCTGTAGAGATCGCCATTACAATGCATCAGTGGGAAGTGATAGGCCAGACAAATGTGATAGATATATAATCAGATATACAATCCTACACAGACTTATAAAACTGGAAACCGCCTGGTTATTATGAAGACGACCATTTTAAGAGCCAGTTGTTGCATTTCTTGGGGTTTTGTTCTGAGCGGACTTGCATCTTTCTCCTGCCCTCGGTCCGTGTTTGTTTTGTTTTAGTCAGGGGGCCCAAAACAGGGGGATGAATCACCTGGACCAACACAGGTAAGGGGAGATGGCGTTCCGGAGCTCAAGCAGAAGCAGCAGGGAATCAGTGTGANTTGAGACCTTTTTCAAGATATGCTAATTTTGTGAGATAGGAATTTTGGGTTTTCATGAGCTGTATGCCAAAATAATCCCTATTAAGACAATAAAAGACCTGAAATATTTCAGTTAGTGTGCAATGAATCTAAAATATATGAATGTTCAAGTCTTATCAATACATTATGGAAAATAATAAACTTTATGACAATATGCTAATATTTTGAGAAGGACCTGTAGATACCTAAAAAGCGTACTTAAGTAGAGTAACAAAGTGTGTGTACATTGTTAGTTGACACCTATGCTGATTGCACAAGACTCATAAATCAGTTCTGAAGCATTCGTAAAATTTGTTTGTACCTCAAAGATATTTCTGCTAAATCAGCGGTCCCCAACCACCGGGCCATGGACCGGTACCGGTCCGTCGGTCGTTTGGTACCGGGCCGCACAGAATAATTTATCGACGATCAGAGTGTAAGTGATGTTTTATATTGAAAAATATCAAAAATTGCGGTATTCTCTCCCAATTACATCAGTCGGTGCATCTGTGCCTCTTGACACAAGTTAATTCAGTTCAAGACTCATCCTATCTTTAACATCCTATCTTTGTGAAGCGGGATTTTCTGCGGTTACAGCGACAAACAAAGCTACATCAGGAGCACACTTTGTGTGTCATTGTCTCTGATTACGCCTCGATGGGACCGGCTTGTTTTATTTTTATGCTGTTTGTATTTGATTTAATGCCAGTCGTATCATTTTACTTGATCCCACGAAAATATTGTCTGACATATAGCGGTCCATGTTGCAAAAAAGGTTGGGGACCGCTATCCTAAATCACGTGTACGAATGATCAAATGATTTAAGAACACATTGTTTTGTACAAATGGTTTTTGCATGTGGTCCAATATAGCTAAAAAAAAAAAAAATAAATATTGTGGTTGTGCACATTTTGGGTGATGTAAGTAAAGGTCATCTACTGTTGGTTACCGACCCCAGATGGGATTTCTGTGCACTGCATCTGATTGTATACATCACGTTTTTCTTTTAACCCTTTACAGCGCAAGTAACATCATAATAACATAAGTAAAATGATATTAAAACACATAATTTCCATGCTAATTCAAAGAAAAATGGCTCTTAAAACATATTTTTGGTTCTTTTGATATAAATCTTTTCCATCTTATAAAAAAAAAAAACATTAAAGCTTTTAATACTGGTATTAATTATAGTAAATTATTTAGCTGTTTATATACACTTTAAGAGCCGCTGGAGAGAATCCATGAGCCACATGTGACTCTGGAGCCGCAGGTTGCAGACTCCTGCTCTAAGGTAACAAAAAAATATGTGTTCTTTACTAATTTCTTATAGAAGCAATTTTGCTGGATTCCAATAACACTATTGGCATTAAATTATGATTTTCAAATTATTTCCCTGAGTGCCCTTTAAAGGGTTAAGAACAAAAAATAACACTAATCATGTAAAAAACAAAAAACAAAAACTTGTCTATTACATATGATACATTTGATGTTACAGGGTCAAAAAAAGAATAAGTACAAAAATTACGCATTGAGTTAAAATTTGCCCTCAATTAAACTGACTTTCGAGCTCCATAAAATTTGTGAGGTCAATTTATTTACAATGTTGTAAACCATCTTTATGCAGCACATGGTTGCAGTCGGTCCATCATCAGTTGTGGCTTCCAGGTTTGGGTTTGTTCCTGAGGTAAGGTCCGGTGTTTTTCACTATTTTAACCATTTATACACACTGATTTTTGTCATTGTAGACAGACGCTGCCCCGATGAACATTCTAGATAAAACATCTTGCAACATGTAACCACCATTAATCTCAGATACACAGATTGTTGTCTGAAAATGTTTAAGTATAAATATCTCAATGTCAGGTTTTCTTTCTTTGATTATTGAAGGAGGCTAATAATATGGCATTAAACTAATGAACACACCTGACTTCATCAAATGCAAGGTCCAAATGTGGTCAAGTCTTCTGTGCAAGTTTGTCTGATGGTCACATCAAAAACCTTGCTATATTACATGGTTCCTCTCCATCATTGTCCTCATCAAGCTGTTTAGGATGTCAGATTTTCTCAAAGTCCTCATGAAGCATCTCTTCAATCTCTCTGTCCCAGGCCTCATCCTGGATCTCATTCTCTGCCAACACGTCGTACTCCTCCAGCTCCTCCTGCAGCTCTCTCTCCCATTTAGGAATATCATCTGGGGACAGAAAGCTTTAATATTTAAAAATATAAAATAAGAAATTAGAAATGTGTTCTACTCTAGTTGAAGGCAAATATTTACCCTGCTTTTCCTGCGGATGTTCTTTTTTGTCTAAGACCAGAAGCTCTGTACGTTTGGCCAGATCCTCTTTATTTATTGCTGAGGATTTCAAAGCACTGCTTATAAATTCAGACCCAGGTGAACTGATGGAGACCTTCGCTTCATCCTTAACAGTAAAACAGATGTGGAAAATGTGACATTTAGTTTTTCCTGTAGAAAGGAAGAGTTATGGTCACGTTAAAGCTATTAAAACATTTGTGTTACCTTATGTTGTCTGGGTTTTTGTGTGACTGGAGGGCACTGACGTTTAACTGGATCTAAAAAATATGAAATCATTTTGTAAGGACTTTGATTTCTGCATGTGGAGGCTGGAGCCCCA